ACTAGACTTCGATGTCTTCATACCAAATATAAATATATCTTTTAAATTCAAAATGGTTCAAGAATCAACTTAATCCGATGCTTGTAACTCAAGATATAGTTGAAATATCACAAGATGTTAAAGTGGTGAAACTTGGTTCCTTTTATTCTTGATTGCATTTCCTCTTTTGCACTTCATATTCTCTTTTTATCATTTCAAACTATCATCAATCATCCAATTATTTTCTCAAATCACTCCAATTGATGATTGAATCCTTAAACCTAGAAGAACATAAAGTTTTCACCATAAAAATCCATAGAAATGCAATTTTTATTACTTAAATTACAAACCACATATTTTCACTAGAATCCTAACTAGTTAGTTATAAAACTAAATAAAGCACACCAAAACTAACTAATAAAATACACTTAAAACACTCAAAATATTCACTTATCAGCATTAGCTCCTGATTTCAGACAAATCAATGTGTACTACTATGACTTACTGAAGCGTGTACCTTAAACCATGGATAGAAGCTGTTGCTGTTGTATATTTTAGGATGTACAGCAGTTTAGTTCCTCGGCTTTATTAGAATCGAAACTAACCTCACAATAGCTTGCAATGCCTACATAATATTCCTATGAATCGTTTCAGTGGAGTGCTGAAATCTCTCCACAAGATTTCTATGTTGCTTATCATGGCTAACATAATGTAAAGCCATGTCTATAGTCTTTTTAGCTTGAACCCTTTTGCGGTAATATTGATTAATGTAATTGCCTACTTGTAAAATTTCACAAAGTTTTAAGAAAGATGGAACATCCATCGAATGTTCTCCAGCATTCTGTCATGATGTCCTACTTTTAGTTCATCGATCCAATCTTTCTCGGTTTACTTAGAATTATGACACCATCGCTTTTGTCCCACCTACTCTCCCAATGCGTAGCGTGGCCACAAAGGTGCATGTGGACAAAAGCAGTTAAAAACTCAAGTTCATCATAATCCGACAATGAAGATGAATTTTTTCCTTCGCTTGCATTCCACATTATGTCTACTACAACTAAAAATGCAGTTGGGAAATAAAAAATTTGAAACCGCAAGTAGTATGACATAAGAATTCAAGTTGTACAAGAGAGAGAGAGAGAGAGACAAATATATTTTTACTTAGAATACGAAAATGTTAGGCGACTCAAATACAGGACAATGCTACGTTGAAATTGTGGACCGGATACAAAATTGTCTAATTTGATTGGGTCAGTTGGAGCCCATACATAGATACTACTAATCAGTGTCTAACACAATGTCAAATCTAATAGTACAACAGCTACTATTAAGACACACCAATTGAAGTACAATAGTAATCGTACAGGTTCAATTGCAATAACATGACAATACATGAACAGCCCCCCAGGTTATAGGCTATTAATCCATGAAACCCTCTGGTCGGTCAACATGGCTATGAACATCTGCTTCCAATCTAGGTTTTTAAAAAAATCATATGCCTTATTGTTTTGACTAGGAATAAGGAAATCATTCAATTTGTCCACTTCTTGAACATAATTGCTAGTGGAGTACTTACAATTGGGGTTAGGTGAGTTATATGATTCAGACTTACAGGAGTAATATTCACGTTTCGCCTTAGCTACAAGGCCCATCTCCTCATAAGCACGATCATATATTTCATCACGCCGTTTCTTCTTAGTAGACTTTAAACCCTCTTGCAAAGAAGAGTTAGCTTGACTATTTTTACGCTTTCCCTTCTGGGGGATGCGAACTTGTGGCTCATTATCAAATACAGCAATACAGTCATCGTTAGCTACATCAACCCCCGTACCTTGTACTCTTGCTGACCCCTCTGTACCTATTATACGATCACCCCTATTTCTATCATAGTTCATTTGTCTTGATAAGGCCTCTTCCCCAGTTAGAGGTGGGTCATTAGAAGACTGGCCCTAAATGCCTAGAGAGCCAATGTCTTCAAAAAGTTCAATCAAATTCCAGTAGTGGTCAGTGCGCCGGTTCTTTATGTTGTTGTCCTACACAAGTAGTCAAATTTAACGTGATAGTTAAAAGCATCATATCGGTAGTGAAACATGGCGATTAATTAAGGAGGATCCTAAACATGGTTGTGAAACATTCTACTGCTACGTTGAAGGAAGTCCTTAATCTAGCTGTAGTACCTCCGAATATAATCTAGTGTAGTAAAGCACTTTAAACTTTCATTCCATCCTATGCTAGTTTGGGCCCCAGTTTCCTTAAACCGGCAGCCAACCCTCACGAAACTGTAGTACTTCGTTTTAACTTGATCATAATCGTATGATTTATGACTGAACCTCATGTTGAACCTATTCCACACATCCTTAAACATACAGCCGTTAATGTTATTTTTGACAGATTGCCGATTTCCTTGTGTTCTTGTAGAAACTGAACATAATAGTACTCAATTTTATATTCCCACTTAACTTTGTCAATAGAAACCCTACAATCTACAGTATTGCCTCGAGTCATCTAAGATGAAAAAAATGAGAAAGTATTAGCAGTCGACTTGAATGGGGCTAGTCGAAGCAATGAAAATAACACAAAATAGAGTTGTGCACTGAAAAAAAAATTGTTGAGTACCTTTATGGTAGTAGTTCGAACACAACTCAAGGTTGTTTGAGCCACTCTCTGATTGAATACAATTACTGGTACTAGAACACGGCGTAGGGGAGTTTCCTAAATGATATGACTAACTTTAGGCAAAACTTCAAAGTACTTATAAATGCAATCCAAATACGACATATCTACGTAACTAAAAAATAGTATGGACCCATGAATACAAGCCAACGTAAATAATTCACCTTTTCCAAGTGGCGGACTCAAAGACAACATACGGTGTGACCGCAATTGAAATAGATCAAGCACGGATCAGAGGCTATGGCAACGCCTAGAAGGAATGCAACAAAAACAAAGGCGTCGTAAAAGAACTTATGCTAAAGCGGTACTAATATAAGACATGATTGATACTATTAATCTCACATTGCAATACTACCATTAAGATTGGGGAGGGCTCTAATTCGTACTTTTTTTCATTCATTTATGTAAAGCAATGCATTTACTTATGCCATTGTAAAAAGGTAAACAATGAAGGTACGGAACAAGTGTACTGTCCATAGTTGAGTCTTGTAAAGTGACAAAACCAATTACTGTTATGTGCCTCATGAACTTTGTAGCGGAAGTTGCTATGTAAAAACTGTACTTGGCTTAGCAAATTATTGTTTGTACCCAAATGCACAAGTAAATATTCAAATGGAAAATAGTATCCAGTTCTATGCTAAACCTTAGCAGATAGACACAAATTAAGTTCCCCTACATTTTCTTGTACGGGTGCTATGTCAAGCTTGCTTCATTTGTTATACTATATTGGCCAAGGGGCAGAAAAAAAAAATAAAACATCACAATCATGTGATACAGCAGGGGTGTGTTCAAATTGAAGGGCATGACAAACCATAGCACCAAAGTTAATCCACACATTGGATGCAGTTGAAAATCGCAATGTTTGCTTAAGGGGTTCAAAATTGTGTGGCTACCCGTAAGAGCATTGGTAAGGTAATGGCCTATGACTACATCATGCGAACTTCATAGGCAATGAAAACAACTAGCACATTGAAACACAAAGCTAATTTCCCTACTACATTGTAAGGCAAAAAAAAAATCAGCCATGTGAATCTATACTTATGCAGTCCAAAGCATGATAGGCAGCATAAGGAAAAAAACTTGAATTAAAAAAACTTTAGGCACATTATAGTAAAATGCATTCAGATAAGCCTGTACAATCAAATAAATTAGTGTTGAAATAAAATTCGATAGCAAACAACCAAAAGCCTGCCCAATCCTAAAGCTGTACAAGAAACCCCAATTTACAAACCCTGGTACTACAAATTCATGCTCAATAGGTTCAGCAGCATAGCATTGTTAAATGGGAAATCAATATCGCACTAACGTAAGAAAAAAGGCATGAACCTGGTGTAACTCGAACTCCAACGGATGTATGGTATTCGTTTGTTTACCACCCGTTTCAGTAGTACGAAGCAACTGATGCTGGCTTCGTCTTCTCCTTCCCTAGAAAATGGTTTTGAATGGAAGAACATACCGAAGTGTGCCTCCTTGTGTATCGTAAATTCAATGGGATCTGAATGATCCGCTCCTCTGCAGCAGTGGATTGCATTCCAATGAGGAAACGAAAAAGTGGAAGGATGTCGAAAAGCTGAAGAAGATGAGAAAACTTTTGGAGTTGTTCGGACCGTTTGCGTGTAAGAAGAGTAAAGTAAACAAGTATACGTTTTGTCGTGAATAGTCCAAATAGTCCGAATTTTCGTAGGTAATTTTAGGTGGGGCCGGAAAAACACAAGTAGATTTTTCACGGAAAATTGTGGGTCCACCTAATCAGAAAATAGGGTTTTTATGTGAAAAATTCAATCCAAACACGATCTAAACTTGTTAACTCGCGAGCCGGTTCGAGCTCGATTATATATATTTTTATTTTTTATTTTGATAGTAAAATTACATATATATCCTTAATATTTTATTATTTGTTAAGAAAAATTATTATTTTTTATTTTTTTAAGTTCGAGCTCTATTTAAATTTGAATTCAAATTCGAGTCGACCTTAAACTCGAACTTGATATTCTGAGCTCGTCGAGTTTGAACTCGAGTTCGAACTTCGTAAAATTATGTTGAAACTTGATTCAATTAAGTCGAAATTCGATTCGACTTGATTCGTTTGCAATCCTAGATATAACTTAGATTGGGATCAAATTTCTAAATAAATGATGTAAAATTATATAAGCTTAATATTAAAGGAAATAAATTCAAGCCAAAGAATCATCACATATTTAGGTTGAGAGCAAATTTAACCTACCTTTTTTATTAACCAAAAAATTAATATTTAAAAGTGAGGAAGAGAAAAAATTCATTCGGCGAAATGTAAATCAAATTGAGGATGATTTTGCCGTTTAGGAATGAAAAAGGTTTTGAGGAAAAAAAGTTATTTCATCATCCTAAACCTTCCCTTCCACTTCAAGCAGCAAAAGAACAGAAAAGCTTCCTCCTTCCTTCTCCTCCTCTCTTCTTCCTCTCTGAATCGTTCCATCCAAACCAGCTGATCAACTTCAGGCTGGTCTACAGCAATGGCGGCAACCCTGCAAATCAACGTGAAGCCCCTAAACCACCAACTTCTATTCAACTCCAAACCCTGTTCCAGACACTGCTGCAGATGGGCCACAATTCGCTGTGCCGCTGCCACCACCCCATCCACCAGACGGTACACTATCACTCTCCTCCCTGGCGACGGAATTGGCCCAGAAGTCATCTCCGTCGCCAAGAACGCTCTCCAACTTGCCGGTTCTCTTGAAGGTACCCGTGTTAATTTTCCCCTGTATTTTAAGTTCAAAGAAATGAAGAATCAAGCTTTAGTTAAAGATGTAAAGGTAGCAACTTTATAGCTATTTCTTTCGCAAAAAATTGTGGTAAGTATTGATTTTTTGGATGAAATTGGGGATTTAATAGGGATTGATTTTGGGTTCAAGGAGATGCCAATGGGTGGGGCAGCCTTGGATTTGACAGGAGTGCCATTGCCAGAAGAGACTCTTTCTACTGCACAGCAATCTGATGCTGTTCTTCTTGGAGCTATTGGAGGGTAAGAATATAGAAGCTCATTATAGTTTTATTATTTGTAGCAATCTTTTATTGCCTAAATGCTGATCGTTGTTGTCCTTTGGATTAAGGTATAAATGGGATAATAATGAGAAACATTTGAAGCCAGAAACTGGATTGCTTCAGCTCCGAAAAGGGCTTAAGGTCTTTGCTAATTTGAGGCCAGCTACTGTTCTGCCAATGGTAAGTTGGTTTGAGCCATTTGTGTGAAGTTTGCAGTTCAATTTTGTGTTTTTGTCTCATGCTTTTCTTGTCTTTGCTGTCTGTTATATGTTGAACTGAAACTGCTAATCGTTGTAAGCTCATAGAATGTTCTTATTTGCTTTTTCATTCATTCCAGTTAGTAGAAGCTTCAACTTTGAAGAAAGAAGTTGCTGAAGGTGTAGACGTAATGGTTGTAAGGGAACTTACTGGAGGTTTGGTCTTTATGCTTATTTCTCTTATAAAAACTTTTTTTTTTTGTGATACTGCAATTAATCTCCATAGTTTTTAATTTAAGTTTAGGTATTTATTTTGGGCAACCAAGGGGCTTTAGCACAAACGACATTGGTGAAGAAATTGGTTTCAACACTGAGGTGTATTCTGCTCCTGAGGTAACTACTTGATCAAGATTTTGTCACCAGATAGATTCCTTTTGAAAAATACACTGGTTTGTAGTCTACTTAGTATGTCTTCCATGTCTTTGGGCTGTAACAACATTTTGAGTTCAACAACGCCTCGTAATTTGCTGATTTTCCGCGCTTTATGCATGTGGACTGTGTGAGGGGAAGTGGATAACCATCTTTTTTTTTCACAAGAATAGAAAATGAATCAGTTCTTATTACATACAGCAGAGAAAAGAAAATGAAGATGAGCTTGAATCTTTGTCTCTGTTATCAAGAACTTGACAGCATGACTTAATCATAGCACTCTTTTTTTTTTTTGGTCGGACACGATAGGTTCTATTCTACACCTACTCCTATTCTATTGTACGCCTGCTCTATACTAGGGGGAGGGGGGACCCAAAGGGGTCAAGGGGGAACCCGACAGAGATTGAAGCACCACCGGCTCAGACGGGTGCCTATGCACCCACTGACGGAACATTTCAGGAAATCCTGGATTTATAGAATGTAGGCCAAGGGATTCGATCCTTTGACCTACACCCAAGTAGAGCTTTAAAGCTCTCTTGGTGGCCAACTAGAGTAGTTGGTTTTATCATAGCACTCTCACTAATAGGTTTAGCAGCTATTCCAATTTTTAACCTCTTAAGTTTCTTATGGTGATATTCCTTTGCCAGATTGATCGCATTGCTCGTATTGCATTTGAAACGGCACGGAAACGTCATGGAAAACTCTGTTCTGTTGATAAAGCAAATGTTTTGGAGGTAATTTTTTGAACAGAGATTGGTTTTTCTGTCAGTTACAACCTTAATTATGATTCTTCCCATACATGCTTTGGCCTTCAACTCTATTAGGAGGTAATCTTGTTATTGTTGTTAATTAATTTGCAGATTCGTTGGGAGTTCTTCTTTTTTCTTCCTTCCTTATTGTTCTTTCAATTCCTTTTATACCATATTTGCTGTTCTCCCTTGAAGTTGAGTCCGGTTGTGGTGCTGTAAGACTGAAGTTCTCTTCTTGCTTGCCATAGTAGTCACATGTACCCGTCAGGTGAAATAGATGCTACGGTGAACATCTTCAATTATGCTTCAGTCTATCGAACATGTTTAACTATGAATTACAGGTCTCATTTGACATCTTATACTTCGCTTCCAGAAGATAAAAATAATCTTGTGTTTACACAAATAAGGAATGGTATGGCATGATCCATTTATATAAATTAGTTTTGGGGGATTGACCACTTCGATTTTCTGTGTAGTTTATGAAGCTCAATCTAATAAAAGGTGTAATATTATCTGTTGTACAAGCGTTCAAACTCAACTATTAAGTATAACTACCAGCAGAAGTTGCATAGAATGTCCATGAAAACAAGATTACTTAAAGACTCTGACCATCATATTTTACAAATGATTTGTCAGTGATTGTAACAGGGAAGAAATAAGGCTTAAAAACTGTTGTCCAACAATTTTAGGCTGTGCATAAGTTGTAGACCAGTTGTTATATTTGTACAGTAACATAAATTAAACTTCTTTTCCATTAAGTTGCTTGGCATTTACATGGTAAAATTCCAAGCCACTCGAAGGTTGAAACAAAGTGGAAAGAATTATGAATCCTTGGAATGTGGAAGATTGAAACTTGATTGCATTCTGATGGTAAAATATTCCAAACACTGTAGCATAATTAAATTTGATTTCATATATTCAAATGGAACAGCAGCATACGTGATTGTTAGTTTGACTTTTGAAATGTTAATCTACAGGTTCCAGGACCTCTTTCTTTAACTGCACATTATGCTAGCATGAAGAATGATATAACTCATCTATGAAAGGATATCTATGGGGAATTTTATGACCCTTGCACAATGTTTTAAGCATGGGTGATTCTATTATAACTTGAAAATGGCTTCATTTTGATTTAACAGTAAAAACTAAGGTTGTAACTAATGTGAGCAGCTCAGGCGCTTGGTATAATGCTTGTTTCCATTGACTTTGACTGAGTTGGAGTCCTGATCAAGTTACTTGATTATGTAAACTGGTGTAGCTCCAACAGTTAGGTGTTCACATGCGATCTTGATGAGCTAAATTGAGCTTTACATGATTTATATTTTTTTAACTATTCATTATGCATATAATTACTTAAAAGGAGAAACATTCAATACTTAAGCTAACATTTAAACTCAAGAAGGCTGAGGACCTTGATCAAGTTCAAATTTTTTGTTCTGAGTCAAGATCGAGCTCAATAAACTGAATACTTGACTCCATTCAGCTCAACTATACCACGAGTTATTGCTAATGGGTTTTGTCTTTTGCACTAATAACCAGGCATCAATGCTTTGGAGGAAGAGAGTTACAGCTTTAGCCTCTGAGTACCCTGATATTGAACTCTCACACATGTACGTTGACAATGCTGCTATGCAGCTTGTTCGCAATCCGAAGCAGGTTTTCTAGATGTCTTTACATTGGTTTTTAGCATTTTGTTATCTTGTTCATTTCAAATTCACAAAGTTTGGAGAGTATACAGAGTTGACACGTCTAGTTCCCTAAAATTGCAGTTCGACACAATTGTGACAAATAACATATTTGGTGATATCCTATCTGATGAGGCCTCAATGATAACTGGAAGTATTGGGATGCTTCCATCTGCTAGCCTTGGGGAATCGGTATAGACAAGTTCCTCTCTGTCTCTCTCTCTCTCTCTTTTTTTTAAACGCAACTCTGATGTTGATTTCATGGGTTTGTCAAATTATCTTTGTGTTTTCTCTAGGGACCTGGATTATTTGAGCCTATACATGGTTCTGCTCCTGATATAGCTGGACAGGTTGGTTCAGTAACATTTCATATGGATATCAATTGCTCTGTCACTTGCAAATGGGAGCATCGGCGCAGTTTTTGTGTTTTGAGTTTTCTAATTGTAATGTTTTAGGACAAAGCAAACCCATTGGCAACAGTTTTGAGTGCTGCTATGCTTCTGAAGTATGGCTTAGGAGAGGAGAAGGCTGCCCAAAGAATTGAGGATGCTGTACTTGATGCCTTAAACAAAGGATTCCGTACTGGTGATATACACACAGCTGGATATGTATGTACAGTAACTCATTGCTTTGTCAGTAGTTAAAAGAGCAGACTGGTAGGACTTCACGCTTGGGCCAATAACATAGGACATATAACAAACATGCTGGAGGAAACAACGCAAATAGAAATCTGGCTAATGTTGTGGAGATAATTTCAAAAGCTAAGTAGATGTGTAGTTTCTCTTGTATAGATTGTTAGGAGAAGTTAACTTGATAAGCTTCATATTACCATATATTATACAAAATTACATCATATTTTCGATAGACATTACCTGCTGATCTCTTTCCATGAAATGTGATTCGAAGTGCCTGACTCATTTTCTCATGCCCCCAGAACTTGGTAGGATGCAAGGAGATGGGTGAAGAAGTATTGAAGTCAATAGAACATAAGATACCTGCAGCTGTTTGACATCACAATCGCTTAGCTCCATGAATGCTGAACTTTCCCAACTCAGTTGCTTTGTTAACCCATTGATCTTTTGGAGATGACAGTGATTTTTGGTGAAGTTACTCTTATTATTGGAACTGAATATGAATATCTTGTGAGTTTTCCAAAATGTAACTCTTCCTTTTGTTTCCAAAAGTAAGAAGATGTGGAAGTTGTGGTAGCATGTCTAGTCTTGCATTTTTCCCCCCCAATTTTAGTTGTAACTGTGTTGTTTATGCTGTTGTAACATTGGAATAATGGTAGAAATGATTTTTTTTTTTATCAGTTGATAAATGGATATTGTTTTCTTGCTATATTATGGAAGTAAATTATAACCTTCAATTCTTCTGTTTCAATCCGGGTTTCCCTCATTTCTAATCGTATACCAGTCTTTTCGAATTTCTTTTCTTCGCAGAAACTAAATTTACATTTTTTTTTGGTTATGTGGTTAATTAATTTAAGTTATTTAGTTCTTTTTGCAGCGTAAGTTATATCTTTGTCTCTCATCATTAGGTTACAAGCTATATATATATATATATTAGAAATATAAAACTATGAAATTACAGTTAGTTTTGGCCACAGAGCCGCGCCATAACCTAAAGAGTCAGCAATTTGTCTGCCATTAAAGGACCATGATTTTCAAGTTCACAAATGAAGTTAAATGATTTTCCACTGCTCTTTCTTTCAAAATTTCCCTTCTACTTATCAGCACCAAGTGCAAAACCAATGTAAAATTCTTGAACTCTACTCATAGACTCGAAATATTACTCGTATTAGTACCTTTCAAATCTCAAATTCCCAATTTTTTTTTTTTTTTTTTGGTTCAAACTAGAACCAGGTAAATAGAGGAGTGAAACTGCATGATGAAGGCGAGCCAATGTGAAATTGAATCAATGGCAATCCAAGCTACAAAACCTTCCACAGAGTAATTATTTCGTTTTCTTTTTTAAATTCTTATCCTTCTACTTTTTTCCTTCATGTAACAACAAAATACATGCAAATACAGCCAACCCTGCTTCAGTTTTGTTACTTTGCGGCATTTTTTTCCGTATCTTGATTCTTGACAATATCAAGAACCTTCCCTTCCTTTTTAAATCATAACTATCACATCAATATCCGAATATATTTTACCCTAGAGAACATAGAAAATCTGTGGTATAAGAAAAATATGGACTAAATGGCTACTTAACCATTAGTAAAAAGACACGCCAACAACGAAATACAAAAAGAAAGTGTCAAGTAGTTTCTTTTTTCTTGAGTCGGCAATGGTAAAACCATAATATTTGTTCGACCCAATCTTACGGTTTTACATTGATGTGTGTTAGATTTATCCCACATTGGCTATGGAAGGAATTAGTGTTTGCTTGTAAGTGTAAAGAAAAGTATCTCTAGAGTTAGTTTTTAGAGTTAGAGAATCTAATAACACCCAACACTAGCATCAACTACAACTGGATGAAAGATTGATGATCTGATCTAACCTAGAGCCTAACAAGTGAAGTGAAAGTTGATTTATCCTGCATTGATTATGAAAGAGCTCGGTTGTTAGTTTATAAATGTGAGGGAAAGTCTCATTTCTAATAGAAAATTTTTAAAATGCAATTTGTTTTTCAAAATGTAACGAATACAAGTTTTGAATGCACTATCTTTCGACTTAATAAAGAAGGTATTTTTGAACAAGCGTCTTCTTCCTTTCCACTCATGTGTGTAACTGTAAGTAGCTTGTACCAAAGTCAATGGAGGCGTCTTGAGCAGCATTGATCACTTCTCCCTTCTTCAACTTGACTTGCTTCAAGTAGAGAGTACTTCGTTTTTTCCCTCTTGAAACAATGAGCTTCTGTTTCTTGAGCTTTCATCTATCTCGAATTGGGTATATGATAGCCCTCTTCATCATGCCCCCTTTTTTTTGGGGGTAGAAATAAGGTTTAGGTGGACACAAGCAACATGTCTTGCATTTTTCAAAGGGATAATTGCAGAAACCTCTCCTGACTTTTATAGTAATAGCATTGACCTCCCCTATCAATTTTGAAATAGCACTGACCTCCCCTATCAAAAGTTGGAGGCAATTTAATAGGCAAAAGTGGATCAATTTACTAAAGTACCCCTGACATGATTTAATTTTACCTAATGAATGTGATGAGTACTTTCATCAAATCCAACAAAACATTTGTTAATAAAAATTACACTAAATTAACTATTTCTGCATAGTTTAACTAATTAACTAATTAACTAAAGCTGTTGTCTGTTCATTAACCATATAGACTAAAGGCGGAGCCACGGGATCCACGTCGGACGTGGTCGTCCTCCGCGTGGCGATATGGGATTGGCTGGATGGTGACGTGGCGCACGGTGATTGGTGTCAAGTTTGGTTCCCTTGAACATGTCCTGCACGTGACCTTTTTTGCTCTTTCTTTCATTCTTTCGTGCAATGGTCTTCAGACCGAGTCTTTTTGCTTGCATCCAACCCACTAAAGAGAGTGATAATAGTAGTAATAGTCCTTTTTCTTTTTCAAACACTGTGGTTGGGCCTATTTCTCTTTCCCACCTTACCTAATGTCAGCTTTTTCGGTCACACCTACTGGATCAGAACCATCATTTATCCCTCCCTCTTTGTTCATCGTCTCTCTCTCTCTCTTTCTCTTCGTTTCTTCATCTCCGACGAGAAAGCCACCTTCTTCTCTTTCTCTTTTCTTTGTCTTCGTCTTCTGATGGAGAATAATGATAAGCCAAAAAAGATGGTTTATATATATACTTTTAAAGGTTCTTGTTTCTTCCTTTGCAGAACTTCTCTAGCCCTCATTTTTTTCTTTTTTTTTTAAATGGGTTGTAGTTGTCTAATTTACATATTTCTCATATTGCAGGTGACAAATTGGAAATTACTTCTGGCAACCTGATGACATCTTGCAAGTCTTTTGTTTCCTTTTCTAAAGTGCATTCTGTATGCTTAAAAGTTTTGATTCTTCTAATTCCTCCACTTTCTTATGCCCGAGTTCTTTTGTACTTTTTTTTTTTTGTTTTCTGAGAAACCGTGTTGTGGGTTTTTCTGTTTTTTCCCAATAGAGCAAGGGATCAATGATAAAGGAGGCATCTTTTTCAGGTTTGAGGTTATGTTTAATAGTTTTTATCAATGATTTTTTAAATCAATAGCCTATTGTTGTTTTTTTGCTTGAACTATTTTTATTTATCGGTAGCCTTCTTGATTTTCAAGTTTAGAAGAGATTTTTGCAGTTTTTTTGGACAAAAACAGCTTGGATGAGTTTTTAGGAAAATTGCCTTGGTGAGTTTCTTGCTACAGATTTATGTGTTTTGGACTATTGTTATCTAAGTGCTTTTGTAACGTTGTCTTTTTTATGAACTGACTTCAAGTTTTTTCCTCGTTTTTTTATAACTGCTGTTGGTATATGCTTTTGCCGTTGTGGCGAGTTCATTTTAAACTTCCTGCCTTTTTCTTTCTGTTTTCAGTTTTTCTTTCTATTCTTGTGATTGCCTGTTTTACATCCGTATGGTATGCCTTTCTTTGTAGAATTCGCTGGCCTTTTGATTCTTGCAAGGAGCCTTCTTTGAAGCTAATCCTTTGTCATTTGTTGGGACAGGAATTCTGTTGCAGGTCAGATGCTTGTTTATTTGTCTTGTTTACTTTTTCCTTTTGTCGTACATTCTTTATTTAGTTGCCACTTTTGCTTTTCCGTTTTTAGTTCATGCATGAGTATCACCTCTACGTAATAGTTGTTAACTCGCATGTAAGAGTTGCCATGCATGGTTTAAAAAATTTATGCTCTGTTCTTTTTGCTTCTTACTTTTTGGCAATAGGCTGGTATGCATGCATGTTTTTTATTTCATTGTATCATATATCTTATGTTCTTTACAGCAGTTCGTAAATGTTGTTTTTGTTCTTCTTTACAATCATTCGACTATAGTTTTTGGTGGCTATTGTAAATTGCCATTGGCTGATTTTTTTTTTTTTTTGGACTGATGGTTCTTAGTCATTTAAGTCAGGTGGATAGAAATACTATTCGTCAAAAATGGTATGTTGAAATGTCACAGAGTGAGAAGGCTGTGCTTTCATGTTGGAGGCGTGAAGCCAGGCTTTTGGAAAAAAAGGGAGAAATCCTCACGCTCTTATGTTCATAGGGTACCGTTTGGTTGCATAGAACCTGGTGTTTGTTTTCCTGGTTCTACTCTTGAGGGCGATAGCAAGCTACTCTTGAAGGCTATGGTTTTACTCCTCGAGGTATATGTGCCGTTGTAGTATTTTACTCGTCTATTCTGTATCTGTTAGTTTATTTAGCCTTGTGTCAGATCATTATCTTTGAATGGCTTCACGTTTCTGTGCCATTTACGATTGATGTGAGAACCCTAACTTCCCTCAATTTTCTTGGCCTTTTGCTTATTTTCTTTTCTCCATTTTTAGTGAAAATTTGTTAACCCTTTCGGTTAAACAAAGGAAGGCCTAGTTGTTATGTGCAATTATGTGTGAGATATGTGTATATGTGTATGTGTTAGAAGTGCGGTTGAGCGCGACAATCGAATTCGGAAAGAGGGAAAAATTTTGAGAAAAGCTGAAGGGGCCGAATCCGGCCGCAAATCCGGCCAGTTCTTGGCCGGATTGTTGGCCGGATTGTAGGTAAGTTTTGAAAAAAAATTGAGTTAGCCTCGGCCTCATATCCGGCCAGGAATCCGGCCGGGAATCCGGCCGGATTGTGACAGGACAGCTGGTTTGACCAGCGTTTTTTTCTTCCTTCTTATCACTTTTGATCACCAAAATATCTCATTTCTTCCCTTGTTCAGCCGGCTAGCTTGAGAGGAAAAGAGAGGAAAACTCTTCATTCTTCATCTTTGATTTTCTTCAATCTTGAAACTTCACCAATAGATTTTTAATTCCCTCCATACAAGTGAGCTTCTTAGAAGGTTAAAGCTTTTGGGTGGAGTGATTTTTAAAGGGGAGCTTGGAATTGCTAGTCTTCTTGAGTTGTGAGGTAAGATGTTTAAGAAGGTTCTCTCTTGCATTGATAATGGTTAAATTGTGAATTGTAAGGGTTGGATATGTCATTTTGTGAGTTATATCTTGATTTGGGGTGATTTATGGTGAAGTTTTATATTTAATTATGAATTTTCTGTTTGCATATGATTTTGTCTATGTGGCCATGTATGATGAAGGGGAATGTTATAGAATGAGGCTAGTTGGTGTGAATGATGGTTAATTGCAAGAAAATGTTGTTTGGAAGGAAATTTGGAAAACTTAAGGCTTCATTATCTTCAATTCTGTCCGGCACTGTTCACCCTAGTTAGAGGCCGAATTGGCCTTGGCTTAAAACATGAAAGTTGTAGGTATTGATGTGTTTGAGGTGCCTGTAAAATTTCAGGTTAATCGGAGTAGTGTAGAGTGAGAAAAGTCGAATTTACCCCTGCTGCTCTGGTTTCATCCGAACTTGGGAATTGTTGCAGTAATTAGCTATTTTGGCTAGGAAAACTTCTGAACTGGTTGTAGAGGTCTTCTAATGAAATGTAGCCTGATGTCCTAGCTATCATTTGGCTTTGGAATCAATGGATTTGAACCTAAGTAGACCGAATTGTAGTTCGTTAACCAGAACGTGGTTTGTCCACCTGTTTTTGCGGTTCTGATCTGGTATCTTGTATTTTTGACCTAGTTTCACTACAAACTGGACTGAGTGACCTTCTACATTGTTGTAGCCCTGTCTCTTAGCTTCGAAACGGTGGGTCTTGCACCCTAATCCGATAATCGTAGTGCCTTTAGTGCCATTCCCGCAAAATGATGTCAAGCATTGTTTTATCTGAAAATGTTTCTAGCTTGCTTTTCGTATTTATTGTTGTATTTATATGATTGTAAGCCTAGTGAACGGCTTGTGGACATGAGATTATTCTATACGACATGTTGGGACTGATTTGAGAAAAATAATGAAGCTATTAATGGCTGGAAAAATAGGTAAACACAAGGGACATGCCGTCCGTTTATTTCTTGTAAAATGAATGAGTTAAAGTGGTTTTCGAAAATGTATTTTGTATCATATTGAACGTATTTCCTTGGAAGCGTCTTCGGGTTTTTGAATAAAGGATCGAAGACTAAATTTCTATTCGAACTCGTATATTGTCTTTGGCAAATAATGTGACCGTTTTATCTTTTGAAAACATGATACCTTTTCCGTTCCAAACTTCAAATGTTCCTTAAGCCTTCCAACCTATAGGGGTATGAGTTCGGGTTTTATCGGCCGTAAGTGCATTGTTTCTAAGCAAGGTTTTAAGCGTGGAAGTTAAAGTATTTTGTCCTCCTTTTCACATGATTTTTATCAAGGCATTGGTTATTTATTGGCCACTTGTATAAATATGCTTTTGAGTCATATAAGCAATTTTGAAAGAATGTTTTCTTAGTCTCTATTGGAATTTTGAATTGTTTTGAATTAAGTGTTTCCCCTTAGAGATTTTAATAACCCTTTTTGGTTTGGGTTTACGTTTGGATTTCGAGTTCTAATTATTTCCATCCATGGATCCAAATGCCCTCTCTACACTTTAAAAGTCCTTTTATACGTTTACTTGCGAGTAGTCGGGTATTGGTTGATTTCATCTAAATCATGTTAGATGGATTGTAATGTGATCTTTGTGGAATTTTAGGTTTCATTGGTGATTGAGAAGTGGGCGTTGTTTTGCGTGTATAGGTGAGTGTTCCTTGTTTGTTATGTTTCCTGATTTTATGGCTTGTTTGAATGATTGATAACGTGTTAAACGCTTTCAATGATTGCTAAAATGATTTTCGAGGCGAGTGTGCACTTTACCGCACTTAGCCTAAATGATTGTGAAATTTTAATGATTGAGCGATTGAAATGTTAATTGTGCATGAATGTAGGCCTTCGGGCTGAACTAGCCATTGCCCCTTGTTACCGGTCGTCTCGAGCCAGTTGGACTCGGTCGAGCGATTAGGAACTTGGGTGAACGATCCGGTATACTCGAGTATTACCCTGTAGGTTGGTGGAGCCTGGCCAAAAGCCAGGGACGGGGTGAATGAAATGAATGAATGAATGAACGAGGGGTTTTACTTATACAAAATGCATTTTCAAATGATTGAAGGAAGGAGAATGGAAGGAGAATGAATGAATGAATGAATGAACGATTGGCTCCTTGTGAGCCGTATCCTTTTAATAAATGTGTTTATCGCTTTATTGTACTTGTATCGTGAATTGTTGTTTACATGCATTTGTTTCTCTTGTTGCCTATGTGTACGGAACCTCACTGAGCTTTCCAGCTCATCCCTTTAGTTTTTGTTTTCCTTAGCAGGGGAAGACGTGCGAGGACGGAAGCTACGTATAGACTAGCCGATCTAGTACTTTTGACTCTTTTGTTGTGGTTCTCGCCCCGATGTTTCGTGGGCTGGTTGTATGGAGAATGGAGAACCTTTGTACATAAGTTGTATTGCTATTGGGATGGATATGCATATAAGTTTACGTTTAAGTTTGAAATTATTGTTATTTCGATTGTTTTGTGGATTTTCTTATCTTTTCTTATAGTGACTGACTGAGTCCCGGCGAGAGTTGGGCAGGCGGTCCGCCGATACCCTGGGGTACGCTCTAGGGAGAAGTGGGGCCGTTACAATTGAAGCCATCTATTTTTGCACATTACAGCAGCTCCATTGAATGACATAGTTCAGGTTACAAAAGGTCAACCAGAATCTAGTGCGGAAAAAAAACTGTGTCTTCTCATCTTTGGCCGAACGTTTGGCCTTCTATTAATGATCAGCCTTCTTAGCACAGTCATAAAGAAGTCTTACCTAAAGGATTGCCTGACCTTTTAGATAACATTACAGTCTTCAATGAGAACGAACAAACTTGGGATTCTCAAAATGTCAACCAAATAACATACTTCAATCTTTAAAGGACTCAAACTCTGGAATCCTTAACTCTTTGAACACTCCGTCTTTAAATCGTTTGTCCAGAGACTGTGTTTCCTCTTCTATTGCATTGAATCCCTGATCTTTCAGCATTCCGCGAGGTAGAGATATTACTGCATCCAACAAATCATTCTTCTAGCTTTTCTTATTCAGCCTTTAGTATCGTTGTCTTTCATAAACTATTCTTAATAAAATAAGGCCGTCTATTTATGCACATTGCAGCAACTCCATTCAATGACAGAGCTCAGCGTTAGAAATGTCAGATAGAAACTAATGCTGGAAAAAGGAAAAAAAAGGACATCTATCTTTTGATTCCTTACCTAATGACCAGCCTTGTAAGCAGGCATGGAAATGCATTGTCTAAGACATGGTCTCCTGTTTCAGAAGTTAACATTGTGATCTCTTAAGACAATGAACAAACCTGTGGTGCTTGATGTTAAAATACAGCTAACATCTTTGAACCTACGCGGAACTTGAATTCTAAAATTCTTGGTTCTTTGCAGAGTCCATTTTTGAATTGCTCGTCAAATGACTGTATTTATTCTTCTACTACATTGAATCTCCAGTCTTCTAGTACTTCTCAAGACACAAATATTATTATATGTACCAATTATTTTGCTTGCTTTTCTTGTTCAATCTCTGGTACTTAAAAAAAATTCTTCTCCACTTCTAAGATAATGTTGTGTCTTTTGGGCACCTTATTAGGATTTGCCATTGCAGATATCCCATTGATTCAGAAAAATATGGTGGTTCATTCTCAAATAATAAATGATGTGTCGACTAACAAAGATGGGACCAGCAAATCATCTGATATTCCTGTTGGTTTTGCAACTCGAATGAAGGATCATACAAATGTTATGCCGACAAGATCGACGCAGTCAGGTTAGTTGATATGTAGGTTATGCTGAAAGGGGGCAAAAGCGTTTCATCCTTGTTGGAGTATTGTATATGTGATGAATATGTATTTCTGTCCTTGAAATATTAAAAAAAAAAGAGCAGCTGCTTATAAAATCCTTGAGCATTAACTGCCTTAAGCTTGATTATGCTACTATTTGATCATTTGTTTCAGGAGGGCTCCCACAATATATGTTAACATTTTCTCTTGGGAAGCTGCAACACAATTTCCAATAGCAACACAGACGGCAAGAGGAGGGGCAAGTTTCTCTTGCTACTGTTACTGACTGTCCATTTGAGTATCAATGCTAATTATTATATATTCTAAGCTGAATATTCTGCGGATCTTGGCAGATGCAATGGGGCTTGGGAAAACTGTGATGACTATTGCTCTGATTCTTGCAAGGCAAGGCAGAGGTACCCTGAGGATTAAGAATCAATTGCCAAAAGTGAGGGTGATACAGAGTACATCAAGAAAAAGAAAAAGGAATCTGATCTCAAACCTTTTAGAAAAGTGAAAGGCAGCACTCTCATTATTTGTCCTATGGCGTTGCTTGGCTAGCGGAAGGTGAGTCCTTATAATATATTTGATTCAGCCAGAATAATAAAGTTTTCTGAGTTTGTATGCATTCTGAATAGGTTTAGCTACATTGTTCTGAAACTGCATTACTGATTTTCTGATCGTATGTTAGTTAATGGATAGGCACAAGGATATACTGTCGTCTTCTGTGAATAAGAATTTACTGAATGAACAGGATGAACTTGAAACACACTCAAAGCCAGATAGCATATCTGTTTCTGTCTTTTTTGGTGGGGATCGGAGCAGTGACCCTAGAGTGATTGCTGAACCTAATGTGATCTTGACCACATACAGTGTCTTAACGGCTGCTTGTAAGAATATAAGCTAGCTATTTCCATTTTTTGTTACTTTCCACCACCGAAATCCATTCACTTGTAGCTTATAAGAATGAAAAGCTGGCCATTTCCATTTTTTTAAGTTTCCACCACTTAAATCCAATTGCTAATGCTGCTTGTTCTTTTCCCCTGTTGAAACATTTTTAATGATTACTATTTTATATGTTCAACACAGGATGGGGAGAATAGTATTTTCCATAGAGTTGACTGGTACAGAGTGGTTTTGGATGAAGCTCATACCATCAAGTCCTCTAAAACTCTAGGTGCCCAGGCTGCCTTCAAATTGTCATCCTATTGCATGTGGTGTCTTACTGGTACCCCTCTTCAGGTATGGCAGCAGCAAAGAATTCTGGCATTAGTTGAACAAGTGCCCCAGTAATGTTTTTCCTGATTGTTATTAAACCACTGGCTATTGTCTAGCATGTATCAATTAAGGTCATTATCAATTGCTGCAGAACAAGTTGGAAGACCTTTATAACCTACTTTGCTTCTTGCATGTTGAACCATGGTGTAACTAGGCTTGGTGAGATTATTATTATTTTTTTTTGACAATTTTATGGCTGATGCTCGAGATGATTTAAAAACAAGCAGTTACTGTTCAGTTTTTGCGTTACATTTCCTAGAAAAATTGTTCAAAGAGTTAAAGATGGCCAAATCTTTTTTTTTTGTTTATTGTTATTTTTTTAATCAACATTATAATGCAAATGAGCTTGTTCCCTCGCTCTTCCCATTTGCTGAAATTTGTTTACTGCTTGTTATAGGTGGCAAAAACTGATTCAGAAGCCATATGAGTGGTGATTATAGAGGGATAAAGCTGATCAAGGCTATTTAGAGGCCACTAAAGCTCTACTATTTACAGACAGAAGTGATTATCATTTCTTTTTATGTAATAACTGTTTCCTTCTATTTCTTCAACAGCTTATAATACTTTCTTTTTTTATCTCCACCAAAATGTAGATTTAACTCAACATCTCCTGACTACTCTACAGGGAAATATGGTTATGTGTTACATCGAGCCTTCTCCTTCTAGATTTAGACTGACCAGATATGTAGCTCATGAAATAATCACTGCCTATGGATGAAGCTCTCAATATTGACAACCTCAACATCAACAATCTCAAGATTAATGACTGACAATCTACTTCTTGTGTTATTTTTAATTGTACCTTTGTTGCACCGACGATCTACAGTCTACTTATTATCTGTTTTTGGTCATAACTTTACTACATCTATAGTCCTATTATGTCCTTTATTATACTTTTCGATTTCGTTTTTTATTTTTATTTTCTAGATTCTTATTAGCTTATTGGGCAAAACTAGGCATGCCAGTCTTCGAATTCTACACCGCGCGTATGCCAGTCTTCGAATTCTACACCGCGCATACGCGCGGTGTACACCTCCTAGTCTATCTCTAATTGGGTATACGGTAGCCCTCTTCATCATGCCCCCTTTTTTTTGGGGGTAGAAATAAGGTTTAGGTGGACACAAGCAACATGTCTTGCATTTTTCAAAGGGATAATTGCAGAAACCTCCCCTGACTTTTATAGTAATAGCATTGATCTCCCCTATCAATTTTGAAATAGCACTGACCTCCCCTATCAAAAGTTGGAGGCAATTTAATAGGCAAAAGTGGATCAATTTACTAAAGTACCCCTGACATGATTTAATTTTACCTAATGAATGTGATGAGTACTTTCATCAAATCCAACAAAACATTTGTTAATAAAAATTACACTAAATTAACTATTTCTGCATAGTTTAACTAATTAACTAATTAACTAAAGCTGTTGTCTGTACGAAACTAACAAACTATTTGCATGTTAAACTAATTAACTGCTTAACTAATTAACTACCTAATTATCTAATTAATTAATAACTAATTAACTAATTTTTGTTTATCTAATTAACTAATTAACTAAAGTTGTTGTCTATCCGAAACTAACAAACTATTTGCATGTTAAACTAATTAACTAATTAACTAAAGCTGTTGTCTATCCGAAACTAACAAACTATTTGCATGTTAAACTAATTAATTAATTAACTGCTTAACTAATTAACTAACTAATTATCTAATTAATTAATTAACTAATTAACTAATTTATGTTTATCTAATTAACTAATTAACTAAAACTGTTATCTATCCGAAACTAACAAATTATTTGCATGTTAAACTAATTAACTAATTAACTAACTAACTAATTAACAAACTATTTGCATGTTAAACTATATGCAGTACGCATTATCTATTTAAAATATCGGCTCTTTATGGGTATTTTACTTTCAAACATTTAATTTATGATAAAAACATCAATGTTTTGTAAGTAAAATTCAAAAAAGTGTTACAGTAATATCAATATTCTTACTTTCAAACATTTAATTTATGGCCCTATGCCCCTCCCTTTTTGTAAGAATATTACTGTAACACTTTTTGAATTTTACTTACAAACATTGATGTTTTTATCATAAATTAAATGTTTGAAAGTAAAATACCTATAAAGAGCCGACACTTTAAATAGGTAATGCGTACTGCATATAGTTTAACATGCAAATAGTTTGTTAATTAGTTAGTTAGTTAATTAGTTAATTAGTTTAACATGCAAATAATTTGTTAGTTTCGGACAGACAACAGCTTTAGTTAATTAGTTAATTAGATAATTAGTTAATTAATTAGATAATTAGTTAATTAGTTAATAGTTAATTAGATAATTAGTTAATAGTTAATTAGTTTAACTATTAACTAATTAGATAATTAGTTAAGCAATTGTCAAGCAAATAATAATTGTCAAGCAAGTAAGGGCAAAATTGGAAGAAAATTCTTATCTCACTTCTACAAAAGCTGTCAAGGAGGTTTCTGCAACGAATTGTTACTGTTCAGGGGAGGTGAATGCAATTTCTAAACCTAGAGAGGAGGTCAGTGCAAATGTCAGAAATCTCAGGGGAGGTTTCTGCAATTATCCCTTTTTCAAAACCAACTAGCACCCTGTATGCGTTATGTAAATATCTTTCAAGCCAATTCTTTGAATGAGACTTCATTTTCCATGCTAATATAGCTAAAATATCGTTTGATGTAGAGGTTGAGTAGAAGCACCTGTGATGGGCAACATGATAAGTTACACACGAGTCAATGACCGAATCACTCCCGCGTGAATGGTTCAGCGGCAGCACCTCTCATTAGGGATGGCAATGGGGGCGGGTGCCCGCGGGCAACCGCCCCGCGGGGGGCTCTCGGGGCGGGGGGCGGGGGAGTATACCCCCGCCCCATCCCCCGCCCCGTCACCCGCAAAAAAAAAATTATATATATATAATTATATATAATATGTAATTTAATTAGTTATAAACTTATGATAATGATATTATTAGTTAGATGTATTATATAATGTATATTAGTGTATGTAATATAATTAATATTATCAATTATACGAATAATTAGACATGTCTACTAATAGAATTTATTAATTAGTTATACTAAATTTACTAATACATTTATACTAAATTTCTAATTATACTTAATAGAATAACATTTTTTTGCTAAAAAAAAAAGCACAAACACAATAATGAATTAGTGATTGTATTTGTACCAAAAGTGAAAACTTAACTATTTTAGTTGTATTTATTTCATCATGTTGGATTGTATTCAAATAATTTTTGTTTGATTGTTTTTATGAGTTTCAATTGTAAAATTAAAATAAATAATAACTTGATGATGTGTTGATATTTTAGTACTTGATTATTTATTAAAATTTAACTATAATAAAATTTTATTAATCTAGCGGGAAAAATTTTATTAACCCCGCGGGGGAAGTGGGGCGGGGCGGGGGGAGTGGGAGGCAGGGGACGGGGCGGGGGCGGGGGAAGTTTGTAGGTAGCGGGGCGGGGGATGGGGGAGGGGTCCCCCGCCCCATTACCATCCCTACCTCTCACCAGTGAATCTTGAGGTCACAAGTTTGAGTCTCCGCTCCGCTGGATTCTTCCGCGCACTTAACATGTTCGGGTTGGGTTGGGACGCCGGGCCCGGACCGCAGGGGATTAGTCGGGTCCCGTAAGGATTGATCCGGACACCCCTGTGTCGACAAAAAAAAAAAAAAAAAAAGACCGAATCATTATCATAACAAGTAATATTGATACAAGCATCATTACTAAATAAAAATATTTCATCATGGCCTGCTACTACTACTATAGTTTCTTGTTCTTCTTTTTCCTCCATCTTGTTTCTATCCTCTCAGCTAATTCCCGTTCCACATTGATTCTTGTAATTCCCCATCTTTGTATAATAATAACCTATATGCTTGTCACTAGTTTTCAGTGGCTAGGGAAGGACTTTTAAGGTTTTTTCCACTGTCAAATTTAGTCCTAACTGTTAGAGATGAGAAGGGTATTGGGAGGGATGGGATGAAAAAAATAAAAATAAAAATACTTGTCATTGCTTCCTTACAAGATGACAAGCTAACACTAGCCTGGTGGTCTTCACTAGTTATAGGGAAATACAACCTAGCATTCTACACAACCTAGTAATAACAATACCAGTGTCTCAATAGGAAAATTCGAACCGAATCCACTAGTATAGAAAAGGCATCTCCCTTCAATCGTCCAAAAAAATCTACAATATTAGGTTTCGACTTCCTCTTCTTTGACCTGCCTGGGGAAAAAACTTCGAATTAGCTAGTGGAAGAGCGAAGCAACTCACTGTTTTCCCTAAGCTCAGCCCTCATAAGTAGACCTTACTCCTGCTGTCACCTGCGGGAATAAGAGGTTATGGATCCAACGGTCTCAGAAAACTTATAGTAAGAGATCGAATCAGCCGCACTTCTTAAGTTAGTATCCATTCTTGTGGTTCAACCGGTAACATTGCCAAATGGTGGGGTGAATTACGTAGGAGAAAGGTTTGGAAACCTAACCCGTCCAGTAACCAGGAAAATCATTGGGTTAAGAGTCAATAATTCAACTGTTGGACCAATTGTAATCGATCCGTGATGTCATAAATATACCTATAAATTATAAGATACTTGTTAGAATTTTCCCTCATTTAAAAAAATTGTGTCTTTTGTTCCACTTACTAAATTTATATTATTACGTTTTAACCAAAGTTCTATGGATTAAAATAGGCACAAATTAGTTTATTTTAAAGTCGTCAATAGATGGAGTGTTATTTCAGATAATTTAGTTAAGTAAATTTTAAAATTTTAGAATTTGTAGAAAGAAATCAAAGCTTCACAAATTTAAAGAATATGAATTAAAGAGTTAAAACAGATTACAATTCATAAGTAAATATATATATATATATATATATATATATATATATAACTTTCTGTTAAAAAAAAGGCCAGTAGAGTTTATGTATTGAGATTAATTGACAAATGGATGGGGAATTACAAGAATCGATGTTTTGTTGATTCCTAAACCGTAGGGATATTGTCAATCCTTAGTTGTTGAATTTCTTCTGTTTGCGCCGACTTTTTCCGGCCAACAAGCTATTGCCGGTGAACTGATAATCACTAGCGCGCCACCTAATTTTTATGAGCAAAACCAGGAAAACCTCATGAATATGCTGAGGAGATTGTGTCGCTAAATTTCTGACCTGTGACATGACTGTTGTTCGTTTTGCCTTGAATAGCCTCAAGGACTTAAATTTCGTAGTAGGAACAATCGATTAAGAAAGTGAAAATGAAGGAAACTGATATACAAATGAAAGTTGATAAACTACTCGACAAGAAACGTAAGGATTGCTAAAAATTCATGAAAATTGCTTGAAAATGTAATGATTGCTTGCATACAAAGAAATTTCATAACAATTC